CAACTTGTACTGGTACCTGGAGTTATTCAACAGAAGTCAACAGAAGAAAGTCAACAGAAGAAACAATACAGAATTAATGGAGTTTTATTTTGGTTGTTCCTTTAAGTAATCTTGAATTCTATTAGCTGCATAATAATAGATAGATTTCTATTAGCTGCATAATATTTCTTCTTGATAGGGGCAATACAACATTTAAACACAGTATCTGTGTTTCTTCACATTAAATTGAGAGAGGCAATTCACCTGTGAGTGAAGCATGCCTTCTAGAGTCCACAGAATTACAGACGAGAGGTACTCTACATTTCATGCAGACATGCTTAAACAGAGAGAAAACCAAGGAAGCAGAAAACCTCTGGTACTTGGAAAACCAAGGTGTTTGAAAGTCATCAACATTTCTGGGGCTTTGGGGAGGGAAAGTCTTGTTAAACTCAGACAATAACAGTTGGTCCATCTCTCTACAGTGATCTAGGATATGACACTGCTATCAGTATTTGAAACTTCTGTTTTGAGTTTAGACACCCTAAAGCATTAAAATAAGTATTTTGAAGATCCCATCAGTGTCTGTATTTTAATCTCTATATTCTCAATATGTACAGCTAACCCTGTCTTCCAGGCTATAGAAATGTAATATTATCAGGTACATAACTGGTCATCACCTATTCTTCTACCGGAAAGCAAGACAAGCTGTTCAAGCTTGAGAAAGTGGATTTTTCTTGGCAGATCAAAATTAAAACCATGCAAACCTACCACGCTGACACTTCAAATCTATGTATTTTCTTTGCTATCTATCTCAGAACTTTTAAAGAGTGAGAACACTCAGATTTATTTTCTTGCCTTTTAAAATCTCCTTTAGTGTGCATAAGGAGACCATTTATATTGGATCAGGCTACCAAAGGCCTTAGATTTCACTAAGAAGGCTGAAGCACCTCAACATATCTGACCTTCCATACTGTATTACACCAATCATCTGTTTTTCACCTGAAGCTGTTGATACCATCTCTGCATGTAGCTCCATTCCTACATGGTCTGCTGAGACACTCATCGATGTTTCTTTCACATAAGACACCAGTAAAACCTGGCAGGCACTTGCAGGAGAAACCACCAACTTGATCTTCACAAATAGCCCTATTAAGACATGGGTTTGAAAGGCATTCATTGACCTCCATTTCACAGTGAGCACCTGAGAAGAAAAGAACAGAATCACAGCTCCACTTGGAATTAACCTAAGAAAGAAGATTACTAACCCATCTCTTTTTTTTTTTTTTTTTTTTTTTTTTTTTTTTTTTTTTTTTGCTGATCTTATGGGAAACAGCAAACACCAGGGCAGCCACCCAGGTCTGGGATTTACTCCATTAACTCAGGTTATGTGGTCATAGAAGAATTACAAGTACCATGTTTGCAGTTGTGGAAATTAACATTGAGTAAACCCTGGGGAATTTGAACAGGTATGGCCCATTATGTGAGTCATCTGGGCTGATGAAATCACCAGTGGTCCACCACATTGACCTAGGGGATCTAGTATATCTATATCAACATGTAATATATGTAACAAATAGCAATGAGATTGTAATACTTTGGACAGGGTAGGAAGACATCTTAGTCACAAAGAGACAAGTCTGACAAACAGAAAAAAGTGTACCTGTGAACCCTTTTGCACAAGTGCAGCGGTAACCATTCTTGCCATCAACACAGTGGGCTCCATTCAAACACGGACTAGAGCTACATTCATTTATGTCTTCCTCACACAAGAGGCCTTCAAACAGCAAGGGTTACAAGGCATGATCAAGACATAGTCAAGGTCTGCATGCTGCAGTGACGGAATGTGGCAGACAGAAAAGCACCATACTTCTTGCATAACAAAAGGCTACTGAGATAGGCAACAAAATTCCATGTTTGACTGCACTGCTGCGAACATCTACAAAGATCATCTGTGTTATATATATGCTGGGAGGTGAAAGACACAAAGTCCATGCTTTGTCTTCCTAAAGTTTGAAAAACATCGAGCAAGTTTTGCTGTCAATAAATGTACAGCCATAAACATGAAAAATGAGGGAAATAATTTATGGTTAAAAAACACCAGGCCTTTTTTTTAACCACACAAAATTATCTCCTCAATAGTTCATTTCAATATTTAGAATTTTAAGTGCTGTTTTGGCAAAGTACTCAAGCATGTCAGTTTCCCCACAGATTTCAATACCTTCAACATGCATGCAGGTGAGAGTTAAAAAGACTGAGCTAAAAGATAAGGAAAAGGCCACTCACTCATAGGGCTGCAGCAAAGCAACTGCATAAATGCTTTGTCTAGTCAGTCCATATTCAGTCTCACAAGGATTTTCCCTTTGAGTATTTACCAGTTCCCTAAACTTAATTCCTTTTTTTTTTTCAGACCAGAAATGTCACAAAACAGAAGCATACATGCACAAAGACACACAGAGATTATCCTTGAATGCTCTTCTTTTCATTTCAAAACTTATTCAAATATAATAGAACCTTACTCTAACCTGTAGATCCGATTACTTTCCTGTTATAATTCCATGGACCTGGAATTATACAGCCCTTCTGTTTTGTGTTATCTACTTGGCACAGTAACAATGCTTGTCTGAAGAAGAGCTATGAAGTGAGACAAACTACCTGAATAGCCTGGTTGACAATGGCAAACAAAGGTCCCAATGCCATCTTTACACATTCCATTGTTGTGACAAGGAGATGATTTACACTCATCAACTTCCACTTCACATTTCAAGCCTAGAATGCAAAATAAAGGACAGAGAACAGGGAGGCAAAATTTGAAATTGTTCAGAAACACAGAAGTAATGATTACTTAATGGAGGAAAACATGACTGACGAAATGCATACATTATCAGACATTCAGGTTTATTATCTTCTCTTCAGATTGTGTATTAACACAGACCTGAGACAAAACAGCTATTAGAAAGCCATGATGCACATCGGGCAGCAGACTGATCAGTTCCAGACAGTGGCACTTAACACCTATCACAAGTAACAGAGATCACTTCTTGGCAAAAGCTGAATAATAAGTCATCCATTTGCTTTGAAGCAACTAAGAAGCTAACAGTGAAGAGTACAGGCAGATCTGTGGAATCAGCTGTTCAGAGTATAAATTTCCAGATTTGCTGATCATAAATATTGACAACTGATAGGATTTTCAAATCCACTAACTGCACTAAAAGAAACCCCATTCAAAATACTTTTCTGCCAAACAAGATATAATTCAGAGGGAAGAGGAGGAACTATTTTTTTTCTTAATGCTTATGTGTGGTAAATCTATGATGGATGTTCCAATTAGTTAGGCTATACCCTTGCACTGAAATGTTCTGCTCCTTTATGCCTGCTCATGTTAAGGGCATAGAGACATTTAGCTCCTCCACTGGCTTTTCAATTTTTTACCTGTATATCCAAGTGGACATATGCAAATATATCCACTTCCCAACTGTTTGCATGTCCCATTGTTGTGGCATGGTTCCAGGAAACACTCATGAAAGACCTGCCAGAGGTAAGAATGATGCAATTACAGTAAAGGTGGAAATATGGGTGGAATAAAATATTCTAATTTTAAACTGCACACCCTACAGTCACTTTGGAAAGCTGGGTTTTTTCTCCCAGACTTTTCCCCAGACTTCTTCTAGTAACTGACATTAACTTTTAGCTCTTCCTCTTTACCTCCTCAGCACATCAACCATTCTTTTTTTTTTCTAGAGAAAAATACCAGGAATCTGAATTATTATTTTAAAACAACCTTTTACATAGCAAAATGGGATCACTGCAGTTGTTCCCTTAGAATTTTCCTAGCTATGATTCACAGGTGACATTTTATATTATGCTCTCTTTTATATGAGAGTTCTCCACATTAAATCCTTTTACACTGGCTAATCACTTCCTGCTACTAGTCATCAGGTGGACTGGTGGGGAACTTCACTGTGTGGCGTTATTTTTTTCTAATGTAGGAAACCAGAATTCAGCAAAGCCCTTGAGTAAATGATCAACTAAAATCACAGGAGATCAGTTTGTCACCTGTCTATATATTATATAACGGTTCAGGCCAACTTCATAATCCGTCAACTTTGCTCCTGTTTACACAATATCCTAACTTTACATTCAAAACAAGGCAGTCTTGTCAGAGTTACAGACTGGGTGAGATGGTGGGAGTAAGGGGGCACCTCTGGCAAACATTGTCACTGGAGTAGATTCTATCACATGAGCACTTGCCTCTGTTTCAAAGGGGGTATTCACAGCAGAAGGGAGCTCTGCTTGCCTCCTCTCAAGTGTATCTATGTTGCAATAAGTAAAACAAAGATTTTACAACTGGCATTTAGATGCCTGGTAGCATTTTCTGGAATTCAGCATATGAAGAACATCAGGTGACTGAGAGTGGTCAATCTACTTTACAGATTGGCTGAACCTCCTCCATGGAGTTTACATTTCTTTTATAAGTGTGATATATGTTTCATTTATCAGGTGAAGGCTTCAAGTCCAGAATTTAAGATTGCCAATAGCTGATGCAGCCTCCTTTGTTCAGCTAAAGTGCTTCTGTGATTATAAAAAGTTCGAGTGTTCCCCTCATGACCATCGCTCTCATCTCTTCAGGAAATACAATCGGCGTTAACAATTACATTTGAAAAGGTCTTAGTCATTTACTGCTGCATAAAGCACACTTTCTTTCATTTGAGATAACAGTGGAAAATATATCTTGTCCTTGCCTGACTGCTGACTTTGTACTGTTTGCTGATATTTTCTGGAGAGGCTGGTACCATCATTACACTTTCCTCAGCTGCTGAAAAAGTAGAGCCAAAACCTAAACAGGAAAGTTATGAAAGTGCTGTTAATAATACTGTATGGGAAGGTCCCTATTCCATGAGGCCACAAAAATTGCATGTTAGTAATGCCTCTAAAGATATGCTGAAAAAACTGAATTTGCAGGAATAAGAAAAACTTTACAGTAACCCCATAGTATTTTAAATATATTTTATATAAAAAAATGTATTTTAAGCACATACATTTCCAAAACACATACATGTGTCCACATATAAAAATATTTTATTTATACTTATACATACATGCATATAAATATTTTTATTTATATTTGCATCTATATAACACTCTCTATAGTGTGTATATATAGTATACATATGCAGAGTGTATGTGAGTATATACACTCTGCATATGTATACTGTTATTGAGTTTTGATATGTATCACACAGTCACTTCTCCATAACACAGAGGCAATATCAGTACACAAAACCAGCTGTGAACTTCACTGGCTGAAATGGAAGGTCTATGTTTGTTAGGAGAGTAAGTGGGATATTTTCTGTTAAGACTACTGCTGGCCATCCTTTAGACATTTTCTTTATTCACTCTCTCCAGCAGAGACAATTTGGCTTACTTGAACAATCTGTGATGGATCTGGCACCAATGACAGTTGTTGTTCCATAAAATGGACAAGACAAGCAGTAGGACTTTCCTGGGTCTGGTTGATAGTAATCTCTGGGACAAGGGTAGCAAGGTGTCAAACCTGTACGAGAGAACTCGCCTGCAAGACATGGTACTGCAAGAACAAAAGGACATTTTTTTGAGGGATCACTTGCACCCCCACCCTACCTCCCTCCACATCTTATTTTTTAATTTTCTCTCCTCCTTCATAGTGCCTCCTCGACTTAAAGGAACAGGGTGAAACCTACCAGGAATTCACAACTCTAGGAGATGCTTATTTAAATTGTGCTGTTAGGTGACATGTGGTTCTCAAAGGAAATATCTGGGAATTAGTTCTATCTATTCCTTTTGCTGTTCTGGGGACACTTTCATACGCAACTTCCTCTCCCTTTTCTCTCTCACACCTGTTTGTGTGTTTGTTTGTTTGCTTGTTTTTGCCTTCAAGAATGAGTAAGGACAAAAGACAAGTCTTTTTTTGTACCATTAATCCCTACAAACTATTTTCCCCAGGAATCTTTCTGGCAAAGCTTCCCAAAGACAGCTGAGGACAATTTATTGAAAAAAGTTATGGAACAAACTGTGTTAAAATTCTGTATTTTCGTATGGAAGATGTGGAAGCTGTTCCGGAGATAATAGTGACAAACATCCTGTAATTTTATTTCTATTCTGTAAGGAAAAAGGGTTTACTTTACAGGTACCCATCACATATCTCATTTTATTAATCTTTAGATAAGAATCTGTCTTGGAAACCAGAAGGAGGACATTCAAAAATAATCAGGGTATCAGGAAATGACCTATCACTTTTCTGGGATATGCTGCTTGGTCCACAATTTAACCAGAAGCAGAACTAAATCTCAGGCAGATGAATTGGATTACATTAGCTGACATTTAAATAACATCTAGAAACTTTTAGAATTTAATTTAAAAATTTCATAGCCCTTTTTGTTACAAACCTCCACAAGCTGAGACATCCACTGCACCTCTTTTTACCGTTGATGTATTCTCTGGGCAAGAGACACAATTCCTGGATCCAGTTGCTGGCTGATATGTGCCAAGCGGACATGTTTCACAGGTCTCAAGACCACTGGGTGAATACGTTCCCTGCTTGCACTGAGCTGTAAGGCAGAAGAATTCATAAAGATTAAGTAATGTCCAACATGAAACATGGCTCCTAACTTCTGAAAATAATGCTGAAATCACAATACATGTCACAAGGACTTTTAGTTCTAGAGTTTACTCTACTCTGAAGGACTTCATAGGTACAAAGAGAAAAAAAAAAAAGGAATTGTGGTAAGTTACTGATAGTGCATTTGTGAATTATTAACCAGTTAATTATCTTCCAATCAGCTTCACATATGATTTATTGCAACTCAGTTACTCATTTTTAATCAACAAAATTAATGATAAGTCAATAAGCAGGAATTAAAAATAGTAACTTCTTTTTCAGAACAAGTCACAAAGAGATAGTGGTGCTGTGGTGCTCAGAGTCAGAGCACTGTAGTGTAGGATGCAGACATTTCATCTTTGATTGCAGTAGGATGGAGATGGGCTGGCAAGGAAAAGAATGACGTTACTTTAAGTGTATTAGTTCCTCAAATGGGCTAACAATCTCACAGAATGAAGACAGAAATGAAACAAAGCTTCAAAGGCCTGCTCTTCTTTAAACATCTGACCAGACATCCTGCATGCCACAGTGGTGGTAAAAATCTGGATTTTTCTCTTTACATATGCATCAAGGAGCAGTTAGGACCGCACCTCATTTCACAGGTAAACCTCATTCCAATACTCCCACAATGGGGACTAAAAGGGTGCCAGCACATATTCACAAGTGTCTGTCCAAAGAAGACAAAGTTCTCACCTTTGCATTCAGAGATGCTCCTAGAGTGTAGATACTCAGTATAGCTACCAGATGGACAACTTTTGCATTCCAGCTGCCCTTCCTCATCTTGGTAGGATCCAGTCCAGCAGCTTTCACAGGTATGATGCTCCAGGGAGTAGTAGGTACCCAAAGGGCAGTTGACTGTAATGTTGGAAACATAAGGTTCCCCTCAGAATGCACAATCATACGTGCGTGTCTTGCCTCTAGAGTTCCCATTTAGTCAAACCCCGTATATGTGAAATGTGACTCTGTTCCTCAGCAAATTTAGTATCTCTCTGGAACATTGCAAAAGATCTCACTATGCACAGGAAATGGAATCCAATTCCCTATCTTAGCTACACATCATTCACAAGACTAATAGGGCTAATAGACTGCATACCGAGCACTGTTTCCCTGTGTATCACCAAGTGTGGATATGCCTAATTTCCCCATGGGAGTGGAATCCTGGGTACAAAAACATCCTTTTCCACTGGCTTTGCTTAGGAACACAAACATCCTCTGGAAGTCAAACTGCGCAAAGCATTTTTGCAGTTTATTGTTCTGGGAGACCACAGCCACTGGACTCTGTTAAACCATAACCCTCTGCAAACATCCTCTAAAAACTTGCTTTTCAAATGGATTCTAAATACATGTAAGGAGTAAGTCATCTGGCTTACCACACATTCTCCCCCTCAGCACAGAACCTGGTCTGCAGAAAAGAAAGGCCTTCTCAGTCTCCAGTGAGTTGCTGTCAGCTACAATGAGTTCAGATGCAAACTGAAAAGAATACATGGGTTCCTTATTGAGAGTCCTATTCAGCCTGTTCGTGATTGTCTCCAGAGTTTTAAGGAGCCGCCGTTGGTTTTCCAGTTCCAATGTATCATTCCTTTCATCAGGCAGTGGCACGCTAGCTGGGATATAAAGAGAAAACACAAAAAGTACACAGATTTTAGTCAGGACTTCCACTATACTCTGGAGTATATCAAGAGTGCAAGACTCAAGCTTGCCAGCGGAAAGCAGGCCATGTGCGCAATGCTCTCCATGAACATGAGGCTGTGATCTTTCTCCCAGGAAGTAGGTCTGTGATGAAATAGGGCTATGAATGTCTCCAGAAAATAGTCATCTGCATCTCCAGCAGGCTTGGTGAACTGAAGGCTACATTTTACTAAATGCATTATAAGCTTGTTTTTTAAAAAGCAGGAATAGGAGAAGGACGATATTTTGACTTCTCTCACCCGTGATGTTAAATATTAACTTGATTTTGTGGTCGGTCATTGGAACATTGAGCTTATGCCTTTTGACTCGAGCAGGTGCTGCCTTTACAGAGGCAGTGAGATGCTTTGATAAATCTTCTTGTGCTGCATCAACAAAATCATCATAGGAATAATCCAGCTGGTTTGCTGCCCCCCAGCCAGCTGGTCCTGTGAGGCATTAAAAAAGAACAAAAAGAGAAGCAACATAACGTGGAAAATAAGTGCCTGTACTAAAATACATCCTCAGTAGAACGGAGTCTTTTTGAAGCTCCAGATAATGCACGCTGGCTTTGCCCCTGCACAAGTGCCTATTATACTAGCACTTTCATAGAATCATAGAATCACAGAATCATTAAAGTTGGAAAAGACCTCAAGGATCATCAAGTCCAACCGTCAGCCCACACCACCTAACCCACTAAACCATGTCGCTAAGCACCACATCTACATCTTTCACTTTGACTAAACAAAAAGGAAAAAAACAGTCTCACTCCTAACTGGTATCACAGAGATCCTGAATCTTTTGCAGTTAGCCAAAGCTTTAAAGAAATACTGCTATAAAAGTTACAAGTTGCAATTCTTTCTCTTCTCCTGTCTTGCATGCACCCTCACCTGCCAGCAACATCTTCTTAAACAATTCCATATTGCTTTCTCTTCCTCTTCCTGCTCAATTACAGACAGCACGGCCTATGCCACATGTCTCCATTGCATCTTCTTCTTACAACTTCTCTATGGTTCCACCATGATCTGGCCTCTCAGGAAAGGCTGGTAGCATTACCTTACATGTTTATTTCCCCCAGAGAGGCATTTCCTGTTACACATAGTGAGTCAAATTCATCCCCGTATAATGTCCTTTGCCTATAACATGCTTTCAACCAGAAACAATTAAATAATTGGTTTTGTATATAATCTACCTTTTCATAATGACTAAATCCAGAGGTGTGTGGTCTATTTCATTGATCTAGCTCTTTTTTAAAAAAAAACATTAACATGTAAAAAAATTCTGCCAATTACCTGTTAGCAGTAACCTAGGTTACGTTTAATTTACAGTGGAAACTAGGACAAGTTAACCCCCACAGCTTTGTGGTTAATACTGTGTGAGTATTCCACAAATAATTTTCTAACCTGCTGTCTCTTATGACCTGAGGGGGTCTCCTCTCCTGCCTCCCCAGTGTAAAATAATGAGAAACTCAGAAAAACAGCAACACGTTATTCCGATAAGAGGCTGACATGAACCAGAAGAGAATAGGACCCTACACCCTTGTCCTCAACACTGTTTCCTCCAAGTGCCTTTATGAGTTAGCTCCAGCTGTCATCAATATTCATCCTTATCAGGATGCAGGTAACAACTGCAAACTGAACACCCAGGCCCACCGTGGCTGATAACAAACAAATGTGCCCTCAAACTCTGTTTTTAGCCTTTCTGCTCTGAGCACTCCTGTAAGACTCAGAAATGTCAAGGACATCAGCAGTACAACACAGACACTAACCTGTTTGAAAACGCACTGAAAATGACAACTAACTTGGCATAAAGCAAACTAGGAACAATCACTAGGACTGTCACAGCTTTCACTCTGATATAGCTACAGTCATCCTGCAAAATCTGCCTTTGCCTACAGGAAGTAATTTCACAGCTAATGGGCAAACTTAAGCTTGTATAGCTTCACACTGTGAGGGTTCTGTGCTGATCTGAACCAGCATCAAGAATGTTCCTAATTTTTTTAACAGTCTCTGGAATGACTTATTGTACTTTTAAGTATTTTGATTTGAAACTGTATGTTTTTAAAAATTTGCTTTCTTCCAGGCTAATCAAGCAAGTTTGTAGGACTCGTGTGTGTGTGTGTGTGCGTTTTTTTTTTTTCCCCTTCCCATCACGAGGCATCTCAGTAAACTCTTCCTCTAGTCTATATAGGAAGCAGTATCAAAACCAGAGAGCAAACAGTTCCATGATATTGTTATAAAACCTATTATGTAATTGCTTGCTATCTTAAGAGCTCCATATTTATTTAAAAAAAAATCTCACACAACACACTGCATACTTCAGAACAAAAGGAATCATGCTGCATTAAACCTGGATGGCTAAGAATCTATGCAATCAATAATTACCAATGGCAAATCCATTTTCGTAATCGTAATTATATTCCAAGCAATGTTTCTGTGTCTGATCTTCCAATCTGCAGTCAATATCATCAACATCATTACAGAATGATGGGACCTTCCAACATAAAGAAGAATGACATTAAAAAATAAAACCACTTAGCCCCCTTCCCCAACTTATAAAAACTTCTAGTTACAATGTAAAGCATAGGTCCTGCCAGTGACACTAGATTTCCCCTTTCATGTCTCTTACAAACTTGTCAGAGTCTACTGAAACAAGGATGTTCTATAGATACAGCTGGGAAATAAAAGGTCAACTTGTAGGCATACACTTCTTTGTTACAGAAGATCTTTTTTATAAGAGAAGATACCCATTCAGTTAGCCACTCTTGCATGTGAAATGTCAAAATACAGAAATAAGTTCAGGCTTGGCTCTACCTGCTGAAAATGACAGGAGAGCTCACACATTTGAGAACATCTGTGATTTTTCCAGCTATGCAATTTATAATTCTGTCAAGCTTACAACAATGCTGTCACTGTGTTTCTAGCTTTCAAACCTTATTTCTTCATATCCCACCTCTCCCTACCCAAGGAAAGGAACTCATGCGTTCCACCAAGAGACCTTCAGAGAACAGGAAAAATCATCTGAGAAGGACAGAAACCATAGATCAGAAAACTCTATTTCTTCTCTCCACAAAAGCACTGGAGAATAGATGAATGCACAGTTTTTTATAAAATCTGTATTTCTTGTTTTTTTCCAGAAAGGTTTCAAGCAAGTTGGGCTCTAGGTCATGTTTTGGAACTGCTTTTCTTTTTTCCGTATCCATTTTCATTGGAAAAATGGCTCCTGCTGATTCCTCCTCCCTTTTCAGATCTCTGCTAGAATTTCAAATTCTTGGGAATAGGAATAGCCATATTCTAAAAAGTCGTTTTGACTGTTTCCCAGATTGTTGCATTTTGATGTAATTGCTTGGGCAGGTCACTAAGCATTTTTTCCTTACTATCTTTTGCTTGCTGATAGTAACGGCCTAAGCAGTGGAACCTGCTGGTAGCTGGCTCTCAGGGGAAAGGAACAGAAATACAAGCAGCCAAGATTTTGCTTCCAGAAGAGAATAAACCTGAAGCAAAGCAAGAGAGTAGCGGATATTTAAGTGTCAGAGATTGCCTTAAGTTTTATGTAAGTTTTCAGCCATTTGACAAGGGCTATTGACATATATTCCAAACTTGCAGAAGTTTGCCCAATAGCTTTATGTGCTAATAATGTTTTTTAGTTAGTAGAGGAGCTTTTAGCAAGTGGGCTTTGACCTGCAAAAAAAACTGTAAATGCCCGGTGTTCTCTTCTGGAGCAATGCTGTCATACTAGGACTGGACATCCACTCCTGAGAGAAGTCCTGCTGCTTCTGCTCTGCAACTGAGAACAGACTTGTGGATTAAGAGGGGAGATTGTGACACTTATGTGGAAAGCAAGAGGCATGGTAGAGACGGAACATGCTACCCCTTCAAAATCAGTGCTATCCAGTTCATAATGATAAGAGCAAGAACTCAGAAACTCTAGAAACCTGAGCAAATTATTTAAATCACTACTCCTGGATTTAAGTGCCTAGACTTAGGTACCAGATGTGGAATTTATCTATTTGTATACATGTGTATTATTTTATATTATATGGATATATGTTATACACATTATATATGATATAATATACATCACATCCAACTTTCAAAAACAACACTGAGGTTAGAGGATGATTGACTGGTGTTTTCAAAACTGCAAAGGTTCTCTGTGGAAGCCTACTAAAAATCTATGAGTCCCAGGTCTCTAAGCTGGGACTACGGACACTTCGATAAATTTTGTCCTGTGTAACTCCGCATTGCAGACTGAGGTGAATCACAGCAAAATGACAGTGAATCTTCATTTTTAAAGGAAGCACAAATATCGCTTACTGGTTTCTGTTGTATTTTCCTTGTACGAAATTAGTTAGCTGGGAAAAGTAACACCGAGGTACATTTTTTACAAAGCATGTAAAAGAGGAAGCAGTATTTACTAACCTACCATTTTACCAAGTGCACTCTGAAACGCATCAGTAAAGCTATTTAGAAGATTGCTGTCATCACATCGTGTTGCTTTGTAGAGCATCTCAAAGGATTTGAACCCATGGTTTGCAAAACGATTTACTGAAAAATTTTTGAGAAATAAATTTTTACAGGTCAGTGCAAGAGTTTCAGAGACAAAAGCAAGATAATTCAGGCTAAAACTGGAATACATTAACCCAAGAAGCATTGTCTTTAAATCAGCAACTTAAATTCCCCATGTTATATATACGTGAACATGGAACACTCATACCTCAGCCAATGCAGTTGAATATGACCCTTTGTCAGGCATAAAATTTACTGGGAAAGCTAACAGATGTTGGAAAAAGGTCTGTCATTTATCTATTTCAGCATTTTCTTCATGGAAGAAACCTGTGAGCTGTCAATTAAACTCTGTACTTACTTTTTACTGAGAGAGAAGCAATAAATATTTTAAGTCCTCTTACTATTGCTGCTAGGCTAAATATGAAAAACTCTCTCCCAGAACTGAGACAAATCAAAGTCTCTAAGTGTCCAAATTACAGATTTTGAATTGATAGACAGCGCTGAAACATAACTCTCAATTTGCTCATAGCTAAAACACTGCTCTTGTTTGCTGAAACCAAGAAATCCACCCTGCTGGAAATGGATGCAACACGCTGCCAACATGGGCTTCATATAATGTCACCAAAGCTGGGAAATTCCAGAGCTGAAGTTTTGCATGTGCCCATCTCAAAGAAAATACATAAGCGCTTCTGATTTGGTGATAAATTAGATACGTAAGTATAGCATGCACTGTGCCTTTGAATCAATAAGTTGCAAAGACTGTTGAAATTTCTGTTGAAAAGATGCTGTTAATGTTTGTAAACAAACTGTTTCAAATACCAATTCAAAATAATGGCAGACCTTGTCTACTTGGCCATCTTTGCTATTTTGTGATTCCCAGGATTCAAATTCACTGCTATTTTTGTGTTTGAGACAGATTCAGAAAAAACACATTTAGTGACTTCCAGGCACTCTTTCACAACATTTGTAACACTTTGGAGGCAGAGGAAGAAAAGATTTGTTATCATTAGACAGAAGTAATAGTTTCTACAATATTTTCATTTACTTCCTCATCAAACATAGTGTTTGATGAGTTGCAGATTCATTTTCAGTAACAATAAGACTTACGAGAGCAGCCAGGCCGCTCTGAAGAATGAGGCGGCTTCCAGACACCATCCTCATATGCACAATAGTAGCTTTCACTTGATCCTTCTGAAAAGCTATAACCCTCTGCACAGTGCAATGTGCAGTTAACTCCCACTTCATCCGATGTGCATGTAAAATAACCATTCACAGGCTCAAAGGAGATTTCACAGGGAGAACCTATGAAAAATACAAAGATTTCTGTGTTGATTAACATGGTGAAGTAAGTACGCACACAGGAAAACAGCAGTGATAACAGGATTTCCCAAAGTACCCAGTATCAACCCGATCTTGCCTCTGTTGAAGTCTGTGGAAGTATTATTTGCTACTTCCATAAAGGCAGGATTAGGTTACTGCTAAATTATTCTCAAGCTATGCCACTGGAATTTGAAATCAAGAAACATAAAGAGTTAAAGAATTTGTGATATATATTAGAAATTAAAAAAACTCAGAAACGCAAGACCCAAACACACTCAAGCATGTACTCACTAAGATAATACAAAACCATAATCTAAATTTTTACATGAACTTCCATACAATGAATTCTAGTAAACTATTTTACATCTTGAATTCTGAAACAAAATATTATCCATTCTTCACCACTGCAACAACACATGGACTCGTCAGAATCATCTTAGGAAGGAGTGACTGTAAAACCTCAGTTATGATTTATTCTACATGCCAATTGTGAAGGAGACTGTGAACATCTGAAAACGTCACAAACACTGAACCACAAAAAGTCTGAGGTGGTGTAGAACTTGAAACAATGCCAATTCTAAGCAGTATCTCATTCTTGCTAAGATTTACAGCAAATCAGAAATTAGCACATCCATTTGCAACTCACCATATCTAAAAGCTATAATGAAAATTCCAGTCTGCGTGATTTTAAATTCTCTCTTCACTAGCAGATTTTTTTATACAGATGTCCAACTAAGACATAAGCACTGAAGAACAGAGATGAAGTAGAATTTTCATCCTTAATACTTTATCTGCCAAATTATTGTTTGGCCTTTAAAGAAGAACATGAACTGTGGGGAAAAGGTGTCTATGCAACAAACACAAATGCACCAATATACCTTTAGGTACAGAGAGCTTCTAAAATCTAAAGAGTGTTCTAGTATCTGCTGCAATATTTGCAGGGGATTACAGAAATATTTCCATAGTTTTCCTTTTTAAATTACAGATTTGAAGTAATACCTCAGCAACACCTATTAATTAATTTCATATAGTATCTGTCACTGAGAAAAAGAATGAATCAATTACCATAAGTTTTACTGCTTAATGATTCATAATATCAGTGCTTTTACATCTAATTTGAACTTACAGGACCGAATTCACTGCTGTGCTGCTTCAGTCTTAGACAGTTTATTCATTGGTACTAACAAATGTCCTGACTGCCTTCAAGTTACTTCAATACAAAATGAGAATAACTAAAAGTGGAGACTAAATTAAAAAGTGGAGTAGCACTGCATCCTCTGTGATATTCAGTTGAAACGATGCCATACACTCTTGACCAGAAGACTAAGACAACAAACCTTTGATGACAATGTGTATTTCACACGTCCTGTTATTGCCAGAGGGATCCACAGCTGTGTATTGAACTGTTGTCTCTCCTTTGGGAAAGAGATCTCCAGGTGCATGGCTCCTAGTGACAGTCAGTGGAGCACCTAGAAGACATCAATAAGTAAAAGAGGGTTGCTCACAGCCAACCTTGACAAGTGGAGAAGGAAATGGCAGTATGTCTTCCAAACTGTGTGTTCTTAAAAATAAATAAGTAAAAAAACCCTCAAAAAATCCTAAACTCCAAGGGATCAAGGGTGAACAGGTTGGGGTTCCCTAGCCTTCCACTGTTGCGTGCATGTTTTGGGGTGCACTATTCTCACCTGAATTGTCTGAAAATTGTGGTTCTTCCCATGTTGCTGGGTACTCATTCTCTACTGCTTGCATGGGGGGTGGAGATCTACATCTGTCAATTACAGGAGGTTCTGCATCTGCAGAATTTGAAGAGATGGCATGACATTATCTTACTGAACTGTCACTACACTCAAATGAAATCTATAGTCAGAAGAAGTTAGGTAAACAGCAGTTTCAAATTCACATCAGGAGATACAAAAAAGTTAGGTGCATGCTTGTAAGCTGCTGCAACTGATAGATGCTGATGGAACAGACAAGACTAATTCTTCCTCTGAACTCATGGTTTCTGCATTCTGTTTGCCTTCTACAGAATAAACCTTGTTTAACAGGACTGCTGAATAACACAACTGTCCAACAGAAATTGAACAATGATTTGCATCAACATGCGAGAACCTTGGAAATTTCATTGTGAGTCTTTCAAGAAGGAAAAAAATCCACATATGATGAAGGCAGTAAGTGCCAACACAAAACATTTGCATCTACCAGTATGAGGAGAAATTTTAACATTTGGGATGAGCAACAGAATAAAACACAATCCTAACTGAACATCTGGAAGCAATGACTGCACACTGTGCAAACTGTGACCCAAGATCAGCAAAGCATTTACAGAGATTACACTACTTCTGGGCCATAGTGACTCACAGTCTCTTTCTGCACAAAATTTAGATGGTTCCAGCCATGGCAGACTCTTCCTCAGTGATTTTTACCAGCACTTACCAATAACCTTGACACTGAATGTACAGCTTGCCTCATTGTCCGACTTATCAGTTGCTGTGTAAGTAATGGCAACTTCGCCAATTGGAAGAAGAAACGGTGGTATGAAAGCTGGGGTAACGTGAACTGAGACCTTTTACAGGAAAACACTTGTTATTTAAAAAACAAAGCTGGTTAGTAATCACGACACGCATGTTTCCAGAAATGTCCACAAAAGAGTATTCTTCAACGTCAAGTCCACTCAGTCTTAATGCAAATAGCCTTTCCAAGTAATGAGGGTGGACTTCGCAACAGAGTGCCTTGCTCCCTCTCTCAAGACTGCCTTCTTTATAGCGACAGGGATTTATTCAGGCAGGATTTGGGTTGCTGCAGTTTACAGCACTGTGCATTAAGAAAACTCAGGCCTGACTCTTATCTGCCTCACTGCACTGAACACACATCAGGCCAGCTCAGAACTTGTTTTGTCTGCAGTTCAGCTCTCCAGCTGTTGGTCAGACAGTTGTGGGCTACAAGAACTTACTTATTGAGTTTTAATCTACATACGTTTATGAATCAATAGCCCACAGATGCTTCAAAACATTCCGGCATGGCAAAGGAACCCGACATGTGTCTATAGATCTTTCATAGGGGTTAGAAGTGTCTTAAGGAACCTCTCTTTAAGAGAGCTGGTTTCACGTGAACAAAGAAGTCTGTCTGACCACTGTGGCTTTGACAAACCAGCTACAACTAAGAGCTAAGGCACTCACTTTCTACAGTTCAATGAATGACCCTGTGTCAGCAGAGCTACAGTAACCGACCACGGCTACGCTACAGCAAAAGATTTTGTGAACTTAAACCTCTTTTACTGGGACAGCTCACAGCTTCCAAGTGCAAAAAACTCCTGTGTTTGGAGCGAATTAAAAGCACACACAGAATCACCGGTCCTCTGCTGACTCATGGTAAAGCATTCAGTTACTGTAACTCGATCAGGTCGGAGCCTGTAGGGAATGCTACTCTTTATGAAACAGCTCTGAAGCAAGTTTTCCTTCTAACTCCATTTCCAGACCTCTGATACTGATAGTAGCCAAAGGTCCACGTCTGAACCTTGCTTGCATCAGATAGGAAAATCAGATTTTTCTTCCTCACTTGGGAAGCTGAAATGAGTTTTTACTTATCACAGTATGTTCTTGTTAGCCTCTTAGATTAATGAACTGGTTCACTTCCTTCTGAGAAGAGTTTATTAAACTTCTTCACATTCTAAGAGCTCATTTTTAAAGCAGCTGTCTCCATCCTATAAACAAGGGCACATTCTTTCTTTTGACCACATAAATTAACCATATGAGATTTTAAACACTATGCAGAGTGTCCTTTGACTGCATAACCCTAACCAAGACAGAAAATGCTGAATTATCAAGATACAACCTTTTCAGCAGATTTTTCTTCTACTCCTGTTTATCAGAACAAATAAATTCTAGTGGTTAAAAAAACAATTTGAAATAGCTACGTATAGAAAGACTGCCATGAGTAAAATGTATAGATTTTAACTTGCCTCATCTCCAGAGTTATCCTCAGCTGTTGGTACCTGCCAACTGATATTAGCAGAGTTATGATGTTCCAGAGTCTCAGCCTCAATATTTTCAGGACAGTGGATCTGAGGAGCTTCAATATCTAATCCAGAAAAAGACAAAGTAGTTTTATATGTGGGATTATAGAAAAAAACCCTCTGTAATGGTTAGACTGCAGCTTGTTATAACCTCTGTTTTTTGTGCTGCCTGGAATATAAACACACATATTTTTGCAAACTTCCTGTCTCTGCCCTTTTTTAATTCTTGCCTATAGGCTCATACATAAGCAGTGAATTCTCCTGGGGAAGAGAATATTTTTTGCTATATTTTTGTACATCACTTCACAGAATGAGACTTTGCTTTCTACATGAGACCATAAAACAGTGAATAAATAAGACAGAATGAATTTGTTTCTCTTATTATTCATCCATTCATTACACACATACTCATTAAGAAGGAATGGCTTCTCTACTCTTTCTCTGCCCACACACAACCCATACAGATGTAAACACTTGTTTCTGACAAGCAGTGACTTAAAAAAAAAAGTATTTGTGACACGATACATGTACTACAAACAAGACAGTAGTGACTCTCAAATCTCCTGGAGCATGGAGTGGAACTGACTTGAAAGAAACAATGGCAAGATTTCTGGCACCAGTTGTTGGAAATGTTCCTTAATAAACTCCCGCCACAAGTTGTTATGTAGGACAAATGCAGTCTTCTTGTGACATACGTGACAATGCTGGACGGCTTCAAAGGACTGGTGGTACAATATGGGTAATATCACCACCAACATTTAAGCCTCAAATTTCTCTGACAAACTTAAAGTACTTCTTCACTTCCCTGGCACAGGGCCTCCCAAAACATTTGCGGTCAGGTTATTTTATGGCTGTAGTGTTGTTTGATAAATCGTCTCTAGACAACAGCATTCAGCTCTGAACTCATCTATGCCCAGAAGACTTTAAAACAACTCAGAACTAGTATCACTTATATTTTTATTACTAAATAGTTCCAGTAAAGACATAACTCAGGCAATTAAACCTCTGTAATTAAGAGTGCAAAGCAATAAATACAAGTGATTTTGCCTTCCTCTGAACTCATTCTGATGAAAATTCTATTAGAAATGCAGTCTTTTAAATAACTACCAGTTATGGCTCACACTCCCCTTGAGGCTGAGGCAAATTCCATTTAAAAGTGAAATTCTGTAAAAAGACTAATAAATAAGTCAGAAATAAAGTGGCTATTTTAAACTGTCCAAATATGTTGGCAGGAAAATGGAGAGAAACAATAACAAGAATGAAAGCAATTGAAATGCAACTGTTCATTTTTACTAGAGAAGAATAACCTCCAGAGTTTCTTGGTGCCCTTTATTTTAGGGTTTCATGCACTGTAAATATCTAAAAGCTTGAACCCAAGCCATGCTGCTTTATCTTGATCCAAACACTTCAGCTTGTACCCTTGCGCTGGGATCTCATCAAATATTAAAAACTGTGGTTTGGCACAGGTTTACACAAAATATTCAGAAAAACAATGTGGTACATCACAGAGTGGGAAATAATATGTTATATTATGTTATATATGTTTATACGTTATAAAACCTTCCTGGCCATTACAGGGAAAAAATTTCCCACCTCAGTTTGTGTAGTGACCTTGCATGATGACTGCCCTAACTGCTTTCTGTACTGTTCTTTCACCCAGTGGCTGGCAAGGGCCCCAGTTTGGGGTGGAAGCATTAGTTCTACGAGCACAATAGTTCATGAAGAGGGGAAGGGCACATTCCCAGACAAACTGCACTTTTGCTTATATCCTACTATAATCCAAAGCCAAACTCCTTCCAGCTCAGTGTGCATGTGTGTAAGGGAATAAGTAACCTAACATTTCTAGAAGAGGTTGGTAAACATGGCAGAACCATACTCAAATGCATGTAACCATCTTCTCCCCATATCTCTATACTCCATGCACTTGTGTCAGCCAGCTTGGGCCTTAACTCTCGTGCACTGTTGCTCAGGGCATGTCAACAGCCATAGTCAGTTCAAAGACGCTTCCTGGAAGAGTTGCTTTTCAGACCCTTGGGGTGGGACTCCAAGAAGAAGATACATGCATTGTCTCTATCTTTACTGTCTTTCAGGATAAACTACATTGGGTCAGAGAAGGTACAATGGACACATGTTCTTCCTCAGCCTGCCATCATGACTTTTCACTCGATCCTCAATTCAACCAAACCCACAAGTGCAGTCATGAGGCTCCATGAGGGCACTCAAGTAGCAGGGCAGGTAGGCTGGTGGCCTTGGAAAGCCTTGAGGCTGGCAGGGAGACCCAGGGAAGTGCTCAGAGCACAGCTGTGCTAGGGTGCAGTGGCACTGGTGAAGAAGCCAAGCTGAAAACTTTCAAACCAATCTCAGCGTTTTAAATGAACCATCATTCTATAATCTGTCTATCAGCCAGGGTTTACACAGCATTTACAGATTTGCTTTGACAACAGGGCTTACATAAACCTGTGCTAAACCAGTAATGGCATTATTATTGTTATTGTACTACGAGTGTGGTTTCCACTTTGACTATCTTTAAGCTATGAGCTTTAACTTCTACTTAAAAATTTCAAATTTACCTGCACATTAGGCTTTTTAGCAGGCAGCTTTCCAACAACAGACTTATGAGATGGATCCCATGAGAAGATGGGACTCAAGCAACCTCTGAACTCCACATTTTTATTACAAACTACAAGAAAACCTGACAGCCAAGCTATAATGGTACAGGCAACACTTCTTACAGACTGTTTAAATCATGCTTTCCCCAGTTCAAACCCACCCTCACTCAGTTATTTGCTGGGTGCTTCCCTTCAATCCTGCACACACGCGTACACAGAAATGATTTTGTGCTGGTCTCTACCTTTACACAGAGCCTCTTGGATGTTTGCACTCCATCTCCCAAATGAAATGCACCTTAGTTCTTCTCTAGCTCCAGACAAGATGAATCCTTGGGGACAGCTCAGATGGCACACAGTCCCAAATACAGCAGGCTCCAGCCCACACCTGGGAGGAAGAACTGTCACACCTGCTGGTTTTTGGATGATGGGGCAACGCATTTCTACAAGAGATCAGTAGGACATGTCTTTTAACAGATGGATACTAAGTATACATTCAAAAAATCTGCAAACAAAGTCATGTGGCAACTCAGAGGGAACACAAGATACACAGACTTTTAATTTAAGAGTTTTCATGCACTATGAGTGCATCAAAACTTAAGACCTTCTGAAGCATTGTACTCCAGTGCTGACTGAAGCAAACAGCACCCAGGATATCAGGTTTTCTATTTTTTTGCTTATGCTTTTCACTGGGACAGAAACACGGTATTTTTCATGTGGCTCCACTATACCTTTCTCTCTCTCTATTTTGATTTTTCTTTTTTCTTTATGACTTCACTTTTCATGGTTGCTTTGCAGCTGCATTCTCTTGCCTTCTATGAAAACCAGACCTTCATATCAGGAGAGAGGCAGTCATCCTGTATCTGTTGCTTTCTACAGCTTTTACACCGTCTCTTGAAATAAGAACAAGACAAGAAAGACTAGACCCTAGCATGAACTCACTGCAGGTTAGGGACATGGCATGTGAGTTTGCCTACTGCATTCCAAAGTGAATGAAACTGGGCTTGGTCTTGACTGTGTTCAAACGCAGATGCAGAGGTTTGACCTTAAGTGGCAGCTGACCTTCTCTGCAAAGTCAGGAAGGGCTGATGGTTGATTAAAGGCCTAAAATTGAAGTTTGAACTATTTACTAGAATTCACTACAAATTCTTAAGATGGTTTGCATCAAAGTGTAAACTTCCAAAAACCATAATGTGTGTAAACAGGTTCAGTTGTCACAAAAGCTTTGTTTCATTTTTGAGCTGTTGCCTTGTGAGGCAAGGAATGTTATTTTTATTTCAAACATGGAAGCATTAACAAACAGGGCAAAAAGGGATATCCCATGAATCCACTTTGTAAATTTTCAGTAGTGCTTCTTATAATGGACAATAGACAAACACACAAGAATAATGCTTCATTTATAGCAGATGAGGAGACTTGTAACTCTTTTAGCTAGTCTGTGAAGAAAGCAATCAGGTCTTTACACAAAGGGCACACAAAGAACCCAACCCAACTAGAGAAGGGAAAGATCCATTCATCTCTTAGCAAGCGGTTTACATTCAGAACGCTTCGTATCTCTCTCCTCTCCTCTCCTCTCTCAAAATATGCAGCGAGTGATTGAAAACTGGTTCTTCTACATGAAACAAAATTTAAAGAGTTGAAGCATTCTAAGTATTTACAGCCATTTAAACTCTCAGTATTGAAATTGTGTTTAAAGTCCCATCAAATAATAACTGCACTTCACTTCAACAGGATGCGTAGATCACAAATGTTAACATATTTAGGCACTTCAAGCAGACACTGTTGGCTACGCAATGTGAAACAACTCCACCAGGAAAAAAAAACCCAAACCCTGACTTTCGGTTGCTCACCACAGGAAGGTAACTGGCAAACAGCAGAAAGATCAGAAATTGGAAAAAACAATTCTTGAGAAGACAAGCTAAAAGCACTGAAATGTGTACTACTACAGGAAAAAGTAGAAGCAAGGCTGTGAAAGATGCAAGCATGAAAAACAGAGAAAACTGCAGCCCTTTAGGAAGCAGTAACAGCCTTCATAGTGGAGATGCTTCCAACTACACTAGCAAACCCTTAGTAGAGCACAATCCTGAAACATCTGACACACATTCAGGACGACCTTTGGTATATCTCGCCCGAGGGAATCTCTTCTGAGTGGGACAGGTTTTTACCAGATAAAAAAAAATGTAATAGCATTGTTCAGCTTTTTTTTTTTTTTAATCTGTGCTCAATTCCAAAATTTGATCAAGCTGACCCGGGAAGTCTGGACTTTATGAGGAGCAGAGTGATTTCCACATTAGTCACACAGATAGGGAATTAACAGAGAGAGAGGAAAAAAGTACTTCTAAGGAGAGATAAGAACCTGCTTTCATCTGCAACTGCCTGTGATGAGCTACACAGCACCTTATTATAATTCTTAAGAGGAACTTCAATATTGTAACAAAAGAAAATATTACCACGCAAATCATTCATCCTTCCTTCAACCCCTTTGCAAACACATTGTTTCACGGAAAGAATTGGCCAACTGCAATTAGACCTGTGGAGTAGAAATTCTTTCAACACTAGGTGGCATCAACACCCTGGATGCCATCTGTGTTTTTACCTTTCTTCACTAAACCTTGAACAAAGCAAGGAGAAGAGTATCTTGCAAAATTCATTAATTTTAATGCGCTGGATATTAATCTTTTACCATGGGAAAGGAAACACAAGAACATGACTATGGGTTTTTTTTTTCAAATTGCACAAATGACAAAGCTTCCCTTTTCAGCAGATACTTTGTTTGCAAGCCATCTATAATATATGTAACCTACACCAAAGTATCTCATTGCTAACAGCACCTTTCATGAAAAATATTAACATTTAAAACATATGTAATAGCCAAACTTGCATTAACTTCCACTCTCTTGGAAAAAGATGCATATGACAACAGACCTCACAAAAGTGACTGTAAACAATCCAGGCTATGTTATGGTACAGTGCCAGTAATGGTTACAGATGGTTGCAGTACAATCTCAGTGAGCTAACTTTTAAATATGGTAAACTTTGCACTGATGTGCACTCAAGCTGAAAAACATTCAGAAGAACAGCTAGGAGAGCACTCTGAGGTCCAAGAAATCTGTTTCAAGGTAAGAGACTGAACCAAATTCCACTTCATTTTTCTAACAGAAGGTTAGGAAATGAATAGTTTAGCAATTACAAGTGCCTAAATACAGCACAGTTTCTGGTATCTTTTACATAGCTCACGATAAATAATAGTTAGGAGCTCTTCAGACTAAAAATAAACGGAGCATACCTCCATGTTAATGATGAACATCCAGAAAACAAGTACAAAGGGTAGTTTTTGGGCAGGACATGCCATTAGTCTTCTAATTTGCATCCTTCCCTAAATAAAACTCCACACAGCTATATTGAAAAAGAATCTCAGCAAGCTTGTTCTAAACACCAGTCACGAGAAGCAGCAGAGACATTTTCCAGCTAACACTCTTCCCTCTGTGACAATCAAAAGTAACTTTTATACTAGATTTTCAGACTCAGCAAAAATAAACTATTGCCATGGGTAATCCAGGAATGGAGGCAATGTTGCATGGTGTAAAGAAATCTTCTGATAGTAGAGCTGGATTTTAATAATCAAAATGCTAAGCTAGGAAGGATGAATTCAACTGATGAATACAATTAATCTTCTAGTTATAATCTTCCAACAGGATTTCAGGGTCCCTTCCTTTTGAAGTTAATTGAAGTTTTTCCCCTGGCTTTAATAGCAGAAAGATTAGGATCTTTTAACAAACTCTTTTGATAAATTAATACTTGTGGATTATTTTCATAATTTTAGAGAACATATCTACAGTTAGAAATTCACTCCTGTCTCAGGCAAAGTCCACATTTTTAAGCCTGCAGTAAAGCAGTAAAAATAGCCACAAGTTCAAGACAAATCACCCTCCTGGCATCACATTTACTGGACCCAGGTGACATGGACTTCAGTCTGACTTTAGTCACCATTTGATCAGTTTCTGAATTGCTGGACTTTAAGCTTGTGGGGGTTTTTTTGTTTGTTTGTTTTTTGTTTTTTTGTGGTTTTTTTTTTTTTTTACAGTTTGCTCTTGAAGTGTTTCAACTGTATTTCTTCTGCTTACCTTTCTAAGTTAATTAAATACCCGTCACTAGTCCTAAATGCGTACTTCTGAAATATACAGTACATTATTTCTGGAACAGCACTATATGCTTACCTGTCCCTGCACAGCTGGTGTGACCTCTGCCTCCTGCCTTAGAGGTGCTTGATCCCTAACTTGCCTAAACTCTTATTTTCTGCTGGGAGTTCAGCTAAAGTGGCAACAGCTGCATATCTACTCAACACTTGCAGTGCCTGGCTAACATACCTTAGTCCTTGTCTGGAGGTCATCTTTATCTTCCAGATGGTCACTCAAACCCCTGGTTGTTCACATTTTATCCACAGTATAGACCTACAACTCGCATGTTTCATACAACACACTGTGTGACAGTGTTAACACTCACCAGATGCAACAACCTTTTAGTTATCAGCTGTCCACTTTCTCCATTTACAAATTCCTTTGCCCCTCCCCAACTTCTAAGTCCTGTATGAAACATTCATAGACAAATCCTCATTCTTATCTTAGCTTCACCAGATATCAAAATAGGGAGAGTTTCTCACTCATGACAGTATGTCAGAAAAGGCTGCACTCTGACGTGAACAGGCAAAGTGTGATCAGATACCTACCTACACACTTTGGCTCCTTTGAATCCCACTGTGAGGTTCCCTGGCAGGTGAGTTTGGTGTTTCCTTCTATTTCATAGCCCTCATTGCAGGTCACAAAACATACTGTCTTATACGAGATATCACCCGTTGAACAATTAATACGTCCGTTTTCAGGAGCCCGAAGTTTGGGACACGTTCGAACTGCAAAAAGAAAAAAAAACCCAAACAAAACAGTTCACTCTGCAGCACTGAGAATCAGTGGAGTTACACTAGTTTGCCCAGGTTTTCAGAGGTGGGACAGGTACTGGCTTGTACACTAGTTACACTATTTTGTACAAATTTCGGGAACAGGGCTGGAACAGGGCTGACTTTTTTCAAAGCTTGCTTGACGCCTTCCTCTTCCTCAAACAGTCTTACATAGCATGTATGAGGGTGGGCACACACTGCCGAGCTCACCTATGTTCTGATGTAAGTCTAGGGTGGCAAACTAACTGCGCTCAGAAATGTTCCTGGCCATCAAAGGCACCTGGCACACAGTGTGTGGCCTGTGCTAGGGATGTCTATCCACCTCCAAAATGGGACAGCTGCAGGCAGATGAAATCCCATGGAAAAGTGTGTCTTTGGAAGTTCCTAATTACCCAGCCATGCCTGGGAGTTCTTTGGGAGATTTCCAACTGGCAGTCTGATATGGGCCAAGTGCACACCAGGGAAGAGTCTAAAAGCTTATTAACAGGGCAGATGACAGTGTCCCAGTGCTCAGGAACATTCTCAGGGACTCTTGAGTATACTTACGTAGACACAGACACATGTGAGCCTCCACAAAAGCAGACTTTCATCATGGTGGGGGAGAGAGAGAGAGAGGAAGGAGGAACACAAGGCATTCACAGACAACAGGACCACCAGGGATGGAAAGGAACTAATTAGACTGTTCCTGAGACAAAAGAGACCCTTTCAGGTGCAGGGCTCCCTGCGGAGGCAGTTCTGGCTGCTGGTCAGCACAGAGGCCTTTCTCCTGTCATGTCTCTCAAACACTGCAAGCAGCGTGATGCCAAAGAGAACACAGTCCTGTGCAGGATGTGTGTGCAGAAACAAAAGTGGGGCATTGAGGGTAAGCCTCAGATTGTCTTACAGTTTTCTTACTGAATCCTGATGCTGCAATTTAACTCAAAACAACACTTTCATTAAGACTGATCCCAAAACAGCGGAATGATAGCAAGAAGAAAAAAGTAGTTGTGTTGCTATGGCCCAGATTTATGTTCTTTGTTTCAGTGCCATGACCTCAAGCACTTCTACCAGGACCTCTTTCCTTTGCGCTGCCTCCTGCTCTCCTCCTCTTCAGCCAGTATCTTACATTTCTGCACTCCCTTGCTCCCCTCTGGACAACAACATTCTGAGCTACATACACCCTGCCTTTCCTTTGGGTCCCTCGAACAGCTAAGCTGTACACATCTACTGTCTGGTTATGATGATGTGATGATGATACGTGTATTGACAACTGGGTGACAGCAAGTCCAAATGTGTAGATGCCTGCTGAGAGTCCTAGTGTACCTGTGCCTTCAATAATTCAAGCCTCTCTTCAATAACCAGCTACTGATTTTCCAAAACCAGTGGAAAGCTCCTATGATTGAAAACCCCGCTCTCAGCTGAAACTGGCAGATACTCCTCAGTATGTTCAATAGTTATTAGGGGTAGAAAAACACACAAGGGCAAACAGTGTGACTGCTCAAAAACATAATCAAGCAAGCTGCAATTCCCTAAACTCTGTTCTCCCTGGATTGTTTTCCCCAGTTTCTGTTGACCTTGCTGGCAGGAGGGCAAGCCCTGGTGATGGGTAGCTTCAGAGATCCAGATGACTTCTCTGCTGTGGTCTAGGATGCCAATTTTACCAACTAACGCATCCTTGCTTCCACCAGGTAGGAGGCAAACCACGATCTCCTCTTCAAACACACTCAAAAGTAAGCCACCTTGGCAACTTCCCCTCCTTTTCCCAGTAGATGTTTACTCTGCACACTGATGAGACAGACATTGTCTACAAGTAGACACACAGACTGAAAAGATCACTATACACTCTCAAACTAATAAATGGGCAGATACCCCGAGCGTTCCTTCAAATGAAAACCAGCTGTATAAATGCCAACAACTACAAGCCCCTCAAAGCTACAAAAACGCACGTTAAATAATGTCTTCTTTGAAAACAGCTATAGTGGCACCTGAGTGGAAAAAAAGCCTGTAGCAAAACAGACATATATTGGATAGGGAAGAAAGAAAGAAAAAAGAAAGGAAGAAAGAAAAGAAAGAAAGAAACAAAGAGAAAGAAAGGAAGAAAGAAAAGAAAGAAAGGAACGAAAGGAAAGGAAAGAAAGAAAGAAAGGAAAGGAGAAAGAAAGAATGAAAGAAAGAAGAAAGAAAGAAAGAAAGAAAGAAAAGAAAGAAGAAAATGAAGAAAGAAAGAAAAAGAAAGAAAAGAAAGAAGAAAGAAAAAAAACAAAGAAAAGAAAGAAGAAAGAAAGAGAAAGAAAGCCATTCAGATGCACCCGATACATCTTTGTTTTATCACTGTCTCATGTTTACTCTGTGAAAGTACTGTTCTTCTTGTGCTTGCATACACACAAGCATCCTCTAGGAAAGTGCATTTAAGAGTATAAAAAAGTTCCTGAAACTTGGTTCTTGTGAGAGGCACTCTGAGCTTCAGAGCAGTTTCCTAATGTGCTGTATCTTAACTGTAGTAGAGTAAGAAAGGCATTTTTACAGCTGAATCACACATGCTTGATACAGAAGAGAACAGGCTTTCTCTTTTACGGTTTCTATGGAAGGCTGTAATACCCAATCTGCGGTAAAAGGAAGCAAATGCTACCAAACTCTACAGTGTTATTGAGGAAGCCTGAATGAACTACAAGCACTGAGAAGGCTCTCAGCAATGTTAATATGCCTACAGAGAAGGCACTCCCTTCTACTATCTGGTAAGTCTAGCCACCTCTTCTGGGAGGACTGAATAGCTGTAGTGCTCCTGCCTCCTCAGTGTTTCAATGTTCACATTTACTCAGCGTCTCAATACGGCTCTGGCAGAAACCTGTAACTGAGACTATGTTAACTTGGCTGTGGTTCCATGCATTAAACACACAGCCCTTCTCTCTTCAATAAGGCATCTTCTATGACCAAGAAATATTTCCATAAAGCCCATGAAAACAATAACAGTGTATTCTGTTTGCTCTGTGTTTTCCCCTAATACATTTTAAATACTTTGTAGCTAGTTTTTTCATGGGTCACGTTAATTGCACGACATGACTGCATTAATCACTTTCCAATAGCACAGCAGATTTTAGGCAGGAGAGCAACTGAGGAGTACTTAATGTCAAAATCCAAAGCAGTTGAAAGAGATTTTCCTTCACTCTCCCTTCTTAATTTATGTGATAAAAGACTCCTGGGATTAACAAAATAAACTGTGCCTTTGATCTTGCTCCCTTTCATAGTCTGAGTGAATTGAGACTAGGGGATCCAGCACATGTTAATGTAAGATTTTTAAATATTTTTTTTCCAAATTGAAGTCTTCAGTATGATCGAGAATGGCACTGGAAACACAAAAATATGTCCTTTCAATGCTTCAATGGATATTAACAAGGCATCAAGACAGTACCTCAAGGCAGACTTTTTTCTTCCCCCACCTTCCAGACAAATTCCCTGTTAAAGGAAACTCATGCACCAACACCCGACAGGTGACTACTTTTAAATGCTCCAGAAAGTTTTCCCAAGTACTAGAATCTTCCACTTCTGTACAGTGAAGATGAAGGATCCCTTCTTTGTGGCTGACTGCAGCTTTCCCCAGAATTTTTTGCACTGGAGGCTACTGTGTGGCAGAAGCTTTGACAGGCAGGTGCTCTTTCCCAGTATCCCAGTCTACCTAAGTAGCATACATCTGCAGTCTATGTTTTGACTGCTGGAAAGTCCATAGCTCTAAGTCTAGCTTTTCAAGATACCCTCATGGTGCTGGCCAGCAATTTGTTTTCTCTTGGAAGCTTCTCCTTCCTGTCTTCTGTCAATGGAAGCTATAATGGAAAACTAAGTTTTCCAGGATTATCTGAAGAAGAGTCCTGCAATGTAAGCAAAGTGAACTGCTATATAAGAATGTCCTGAGGAACTGATCTCTAGCTCAGATTCCTCCTTTCAGAACCATGACTTGCTGTTTCTTTAAAGGGTTGCAGTGTTTTTTGTAGCAGCATTAAGTGCTAATGCCTCCAAGGATCTATCCCAAAAAAAATGACCTCAAGGCCAGGGCAAGAGTTATAGTAGGAGATAATGACTTCTTATTTACTAGTTTCCAGTGGATAATACTAATGAAGTGCATCCAACTCAAGCTAAACATGTTGAACTACAACATGTGGTTGTTGAGGAGATGAGGGCTGCTACCTGTTTTTTTGGACAACAAACCAGACAGGACTACATGGGGATGCAGCTCCCCTTCTAAATCATCAAGAACCCAACTTCAGGAAGAGACAAGTGATAACAAAATGTACTTGTAAGAGCTCTAGAAATAATGTTTTTCAGGATGCTCTTTCCCATGTCTCCTCCCTTTCACACCTTCTGTTTGTTTCTTTTCCAGCTGACGTTCTCTTACAATGAACTTCTAGGATACTCCCAGTTGTTCCCTAGTGAAACTCTACTCAGAATTCTTCTGAAGACTACGGTCAAGGCCCAAGCTCTCCTATTTTTCATATGAAGAAACTGTAAGAAAGCAAAATGGAATTCTTCCAAGGCTAATGTCTCCCAACGCCAACGCCCATCTCTGCCAGGAGTGTGGTGGATATTCTAGAACACTCATGTGGCAAGGTTTTGTTATATATTTGACTACTTCATAGGTTTGCTGGATTTACATAATGTAGATGCAAAATTCATAGAAATTAGGTGGAAAGAGGTTTAAGGAAGGAGGATGTATACTCACTTGCAAAAGACTGACTGCCTAGTAAATACTGCTCTGCATTTTCTATTGTAGATGCCCTCCTTCTACTTCAGGAAGGAGGGAAACAGAGTGATTGGAATGATAGTATTCTTTCACACAAGAGCTAACAGGATCAGATCTGTCCTCCCAGTTAGGTAGTGAGCAGAGAAAACCACTGTTATGAACAAAGTAATTCAACAGAAAAAGACTTTGCAAACATTAGACATCCATACCTCTGCAGGTAGCCTCTGATCCGGACCACTGGCCATTTGGCTGACAAAGCCTGATGCTGCTTCCCACAAGATCAAATCCTGCTTTGCATCTGATCCCACAGGCAGCATTAAAGTAATTGTTGCAGACATTCTGGACAAAGTAACCATTTTCAGGGGGCTTCAGTTCAGGGCAGTGAACGACTGAATAATTAAACAATCACAACAGAGTTATGACACTCGCTGGAGTGCAGTAGGCTACTGAAGGAAAAAAATGTTTTAAATTTCCCACTCAATTTGTATCTTGGTACTTTTGATGTTTTGCAACGACACAGAAAATCTTGCATGCAATTTGACATGTCACAGTGCAAACACAACTAGCAAAATTGTCCCAGCACTGCATTGTGCATTCCAGGAGTATTCTGTTCCTGGACGGAAACACTTACCTTCACAGGTTTGTCCTACAGCACGATATCCTTCCTGGCATGTACAATCCTCAATGGAGGTACTTCCTGGTGGAGAAGTATGATTCTCATCAGGACATGAGATGCAAGTGCTGATTCCACCTGGAGAACCTTCAGGCTTGTATGTTCCTGGTGGACAAGCTGTTTGGCAAAAGAAAACATGACAGAAAGGAGTTCAGGATATCTGCCTTTCACAGCTAGCATAATTTTCCAGGTGTGTTGCTTTACTTTTTTTTTACATTTTTTTTTCCTAGCTCACACATCCCAGTGTCACTTAGGGCAGGAGCATTCTCCACTTAAAGTGCTGTAGAGTTCTTACAGGGGTGCACTAAAGCACACCAAACTCAGTGGAGGTCTCTCCAGTGACTGCCTGGGGACTGATATTAAGTTCATGATTAATCTTCTTGAAAAGAAGCCCAGTCCCAGAAGACACACGAGGTTTTCAGTGGTAAAACCTGTGCTGACCTCATGAAGACATCCTTGATTTAGAGGTGTAAAAGATTAGTTCAGACAAAAACCTTGCCATTCAAAACTACACCAAAGTTTAAGGCGTACAAATCTTTAGTAACAAGCTAACACAAGCTAGCAAAAAACTCTGCCCTTGATTTACAGATTATGATTATATATGATCTACACACTACACTTGCTAAAATGTGTGAACCTCAAACAATGAAGCAATTAATCAAAACAACTGCTCCCTGAAGCTTTTGCACTCACTGATACACCATTGAATATTTTTAACTCTGCATCTCGATGCACAAGCCTAAGAAATGTCTTTACAGGCAGGGAAAATGCATAGAGAAAAGGCACCTCTCATCTGAGAACTTCAGATTGCTTGGATAAGTCTGAGTGTTATCTCTTTCTGCCTTGAGTTCTATTCTTCAGGAAACCATCATAATTCTCTTTATTTATTTCACAAGGATGATGTGAGAAACAGGAGAGTGACTAATCAACAGGTGCTAATAAGTGAAGCATTGATTGATGAGATTACCACTTGAAACAGAATTCATAGACACATGTGCTGAAAAACATACCTCCTGATGTAAAGCTCAGGAAATCTTTTGAGAAGGTTGTTATGTAATATTAACACCGAAATCCATCTGAAAAAGCTCTCATTTCATTAAGTTCACTGTTTGCAAATTTTCCTAATGGACACACTTTCTTTTGCAGACTGCAAGTCAGCCTCTCGTTTCCTTCCCTCACTACAGTCACTTTGTACCATCTGATGTAGCTCTGCATGGTGTAAAGAATGTACAACCATAAACATCCTCAAGGATCTTCCTCCTTACACAGTCAGGTGTACTCTGCTTCTGGAGCAAATCTCTCCTACTGACATATATTTCCCAGAAGTCAGAGATTTTGGTATTACCAATCTTTTCTTTGGTAGATATTAGAACAGCTCCATTTGTTCTGTGATTTAGGTGTTAAGATACTCTGTCTCTTGTCTTACTAATCAAAACAACTTCCTGCTTTCTATGCAACTGGAAAACAAAACCCCAAAATACAAACAAACCAAAACCAAAAAACAAAACCAAAAGAAACCCCGGACTCCTTTTTCCTCACCTCTCATCGGAGAATTGACTTTCATAAGCCAAATTTTACGGATTATACCTTAAAAAAAATCAACCCATATGAACAATTAGCACTACTTCTTTCCCAAAGCTTCTAGAGATAATATTTTTGTTTCCTTTTCAGAAAATTTGCAGTTTTATTTTGAAGAAAGCAGCCAAGTGGCTAGCAGTTAAGAGGTGATTTTGGGTGCTGTAAAATTGCTTCACAAATCTGTATTTTAAACACAGTTTTAAAAAGACAATGAAAATGCCTAAGCAGCAAAGGAGGAAAGTATAAATCAAAGCATTTCAGGGAGGAAAAAGTGCAGAAACATCCAATCAGAATTAGAGATGGGAATTTTTCATGTTTGTTTTGGGACTTTCAGAAATGCACTCGCAAAAAAATCCCTTTCCTATAGTTCACACGTTCTTCCTGACCAAGACAGTCCCCTTAGACTGTTACTGGTTCTTTCCTCTCTTCTGTGCAGAAATTCCCTCCTGGGCCATCAGATCTCTCTGCAATATTCTCTCATGCTTCAGATTATCACCTCCAAATTGGCTAAGTATCAGAGGTGGTACTATGAAATACTTCCATCTGGCACTTTGTGGAAGTCTCTGTGTATCTGTGTTAAAACTAATCAGCATCCAGCACAAACTGACAAAGTGCATCCAAAAGGATACAGGAAA